ACTATTTAGTTACGTATGATCCGTAAGATAAAAACCGTTTCGGAATGCTAGCCAATTTTCATCGGGTTTATCCCGCATGACTCTTATGTTAGGGGATTGGTCATTCAGATTATCAAAGCATATGCTCCACCGCTAGGCCACGTACCTGCTTGTAATACCTTTTTGAAGCGGATTATGCTGCAATTCAGCCTTTTTCAAAAGTGTCATGATTTGTCCAACACTGAACCCGTACATGTTGTGAGCAGATTGGTGTTCCGAGAGTAGCTCACACACGGCTTCCTTAGCATCATCCTCGGAGACACTTGTGTACAACAAGTGACATCTAAAGTCTTAATCGCACATTCTCCATTAACAAAAACACATACCTTAGTAAATGTGCTATGATCAAGTACAACAGCCATGGGATTCTATCATCCGGGCCACAGCAGCTGCTTTTAATAGGTCTTACTTTGTTAGTCTATGGACTTCCAGAGAAAAATTCTGGCGCAAGCAGTTTGTGTGTCTTTATTAGCATGTAAAGGGCTAGGCATTTGGGTAAAGCGATCTTAAGATGCGATAAAGGTTTAGGTAAGCCGATAGAGTTCGCTATTTATCCACATTCTTTTCAGACGCTTTGTTTTACAAAGCCTTGTTTGAAAGAAGCGCAATACAGAGTGCTATCGTCAAAATGGTGTCCGGTTAAGGCCATATCTAAGCTACGCGTCATCACAACGAATTCCCATTCCTTATCTCGGTTGATTTTCTTACTTCATTTTCAGTGCATGGATTATGAAGTTCACGGAAACCCCGACGATGAATGAGAGTGAGATTTCTAGTGATATGCTTTTTTACGAACTGTATCAGAGTGCTGAAGATATCGATCGAAATGAACCAGACAACAAAAATGCCGTTTTGTGTTCTATTCAATGTGTTCCATTCGTATTTGATGCAGAGCTATTTAGCAGAGTTAACAGAAATCTGTGTTTCAAGTGGGCCTCGATGATTCCTTCAAAGTTGTAGATATATCTACTCTCAATCTCAAAAACAACTGAGCCGCAATCGAGCGCATGAGAGAATGTTCACAATCGCCGATTTTATTATCTGAGTGTTGGAAAACCAGGCGACTGCATGGAATCAGGAGTGGTCTATTGGGCGGGCAGTTCTCAAAGTTTCGATTTCAGAAAACCCTGATGAAGGCGGACGGAACGCCAACGCTGGCTTATCTCGTAATAAAATCCTGCTACCAATCTTGGTCGACAGCTTAAAGAATGTATTACAACTGGGATATCGACAGTTTACCTTTGTGCACATCAGCTTACAAACAATATCAGTTTCACAATTTCAACTTTTCAACACGAATACAAACACTTTTGATCACATTTTTTCTCCCATTGTATCGCGACCATTGCTATAAAAAGAAAAGTGAGAACATACCTAAGTGGCATACAATACCGCTCACATTTTTTGAAAAATAGACGCGAATGTATGGACACGTATGGACATGTCCGCGCATGTATGGACATGTCCGTACATGTCCATACATGTCCATACATTCGCGTCTATTTTTCAAAAAATGTGAGCAGTACCGTATAGACTTTGCGTAATTGTTGATGTTGAAGGACAAGCTCTAAGATCACCGGGGGAGGATGCCATGCTCGTACATCCCAGGGCTTGGTTTCTAAAACTCGTACGAAAATGAAGTCGTGTGCCCAGTAAGAAAAAAATTGGTGCACTGGGTATTTTGGATCTACAATTGTCGTACTTCAAGAAGTGATCGAAGCACCCTGCCCAATTACAATTCAGACCACCAGATCACATTGGAGAATCCTCCAAACTTCAAAATCTTAGTTACTCTTAACTAACTCGCAAAACCTAATTCAAATCAGAGAGGGGATTGAGAATATGTCCATTCTCTGCTCACAGAGAATTTTCACGAAAAGTAATTTAAATCTAAAAGCGATTGCATCACAACATTCTGAGAGTTTTAGCAGGACCGCATCATCAATTAGGCGATATAATAAATCAACCTCAGCACTTCCTAAATATAGAACATCGAGTTTTGTGGAAATATGGTTACCCTTTGGTGTGGAGCTGTCCGTCAATATCAGCGATTACGCAAAGTTTATGAGAGCGTTCTTCACCTCTTTTATGAAGAAAGCTCAGAAGCTTTCGAGATTTCTGCATGGCGTGTATAAGAGCTCGTAAACTCAAACCAGCTGTTTATTGAAGCAGATTGACTTCAAGAGCTTTTGAGAGTGAAAAAATTCGAGCGATTGTTTATCCATTTTAGGGTTTAATCTTCTTTTAGAGTCAAGGAATGCAAGAAATGCAATGGTGGCTGAAAAAACCGAGTGTATTTATAGTAGTGTCCAGCCTGATCAAGACCTTTTTTGAAAATTTCTCCTTTTCACCGTTTCAAATCAACGAGATATTGAGAGCCATTTTGATGAATGATGGTAAGCTTGCATGTATACAACGCAACAAAAGTTCAAATAGATCCATTAACAAAAAGGCAAATCATGGCTATATTGAGAGGGGATAATAGCAGCGTTTAGCACTGTATTGCCCTTCAAAGCTTACACCCTCTGGAAAGCAAATGTGAAGTAAACGATGGTTCAGTAGTCGTTTCATCAAACCCCTTGTTCTGCAGCTCTCAATGGCCATGCCTAAGTAACTACGCAACACTGATGCTATCTCAAAGTTTGGTCTATTTTGCGCCATACTGTGACTAAGCAGATCATAGTGTCTTTGATAAGTGCTGGAGAATAAATTTTTTCTGTATTCTTAAAAAAGACGAAGCTTAGCAAGCCTTAAAGCTTCTTGTACCGGATTTGACGCCACGTTGATTTCAAAATTTTCGAATCGGCCGAAAAAAATTGTCATACGACATCGTGACAGCGGTTCCTCAGCATACTTAAACCTTCAAAAAAGTGTGATTCTTATAAGAATAGTGTGATTCTTATAAGAATAAGTGCCATGACAAATACAATGGATCATCCACCAGTATAAAACTCCCTCAAATCAGGACTCTAGCATTATATTCATCAGATATTTTCGTCTGTGCACATTGTTCTCCTTGTAGCTATTACTGCCCTCACCCAAGCGCTCAAATGTTATTCAGGTGTGTTAGTTGTATCGAATCGTAAGCCCACTCGAACAAACATCCTTGCAGGCCGTGTCTTTGAGTTTTAGGACTTTTGCGAATTCAAAAAGATCAAGACCCTGTATAACCATATCTTGATACAAGCTCACACCAAATTCCTTGAAGACAGTGTCCCAGCAATTTGCACTTTTACAGTTTTGCATATTTCAGGGCATTTCGACACGCAGAATCCGAATTTGAGCTTTGAAGGTGGAAAGACTGTTTTTGGAGCGTTTAGCCAATTTCCAAAAGGCAGGTCACACGAAAGTTTCTATGGAAAGTTGAGAAACTTTGGCACGAAGACCCTGTCGCCTGTAGTTTTTGCTTTAAATGGCATGCACACTGCGGGAGCTGTCATGGGGTCCCGCGCTGAACAGCTGCGAAGTCGTTCGAGTACGCGCCGACTGGGGTTGCGCGCGTCGGTTTTAGGGCTATTTGCTCGGCGCAGGGTAAACATCAATCAGCCGGACTGGGCCTGAAAATAAGTGCGTTGACGACCACACTATATCCCCCACGGAGCAATTCTGCCAGGACACTGCCTTGAAGACTGTGTTTTGAATCCTCAGCAAGGAGACGTTCGTCTGAAAAGACGTGTCAAAACTCGAAAATTGAAATTCCAAGCCTGAACACCCTTTAAATGCACTCTAATTAGGAAATGGCAGCTGATCTGGCCCGAAGGGGAATGCATGTTACCAGATGCGCATTCAAACGCTGATTTTAAATCTGCTTTTCTTTTCTACGAAACAACTTTTCGGAAGAAGTCATAAGCTTTCGGAAGTCTAAAACTGTCAAATCTTAAGAAAAAAAGGCAAAAAAGGTGAAATCCTGTCAAAAACGCCTGCAAGTGGGTGATCAAATTTGTATCACCTATATTGACTATAATCAGTAAATCGCAATCAGTAAAAATCAGCAGAAGTGTTTTTGTACACGCTGATTTTACGCCACTGGGTTGAAAATTTTGAGCTAAATGATCTTAATTTCTTTCAGAAAGTTGTTCGCAGAAAAAAGAAAGCAGATTCGGAATCAGTGTTCAAAGGCGCGACCAATAGTATACATTTCATTTCAGTTTGTCACGTCTTGTCTTTCCTCTGCTTGAGGACCCGAACAAATCGGACTTGACAGTGGTCTCACTCAGGTCCCCGAACAGGTATGAAAGGATGTGCGAGAAATTGATAAATACCGCTCCTCAACGGGATAGGTCTCCTTTAGTCTTTCCAAGGGTCATTTCTGCGTACATAGGCTCGTTGAAAACAACAGATGGCAAGATAATGCCCTTGTTGTTCGTAAGCACTTTCATTGTTTTTTTTTCACCTCCTCGACCGCCCGATCTAGCGATTGCGAAAAGAACAAACTCGAGAGCAGGAAAAAAAACCTCTGCGCAGCATCGACTTCTCTTCTGCCCTCCCTCATCTCGCAAATTCATTCAGTTGCGCTTGATGTGCTGCATTTCATGGGATTAACAAATATCGTTTGAGCACATTGTGAATGGCCGGCCGACCATACCGGGGGGGGGGGGGGCTGATGAAGAAGTGTTTGGTGCCCGATGATTGGCATTGTTCTCGATTCTATGCATGGAAACAATGGAATCGCGTGCGCAAGGTCAAACATTGGGCCCCCAAGCGTACGAAAATATTTGCCATTAATTTGATTACCGGAAAGATAACGCTAACGGCTGTTGAGCTACAATAGAAGAAAGCAGATTGGCCTAGATACATGTAGGTAAGATTGACCACCCTACATTAGTCCTCTATGCAAAGCACTGCTCAAAATAATTTGGTTCCAATCCTTACTTTGCATTGTTGGATTTCCAGTGATTTTTTATTAGGTGGCTCAAAAGTTCTGGGACATTTTCAGACGAGATCTCTATTTCTCGAAACTTAATTCACATACATCGGACAGAGGTACCATTCGACAGAGCAAAGCAAGCTCTACAAGATGGTATGCAAAAGTTTGCAGCAGTTACGATTCACCGTAAGTTTGCACCCAAAATCTGAGTCGTACTAAGATTCAAAAAATCGCGAAAAATTCATATCTTTGTTTAAACAAGTCCTACGGATCTCCACCTTGCTCACAAAAATTGCCATCCACATTAGATACTTATTTGTATCGTTCCCGTATTTTTTCTTTATCTGGAAATCGAGGACACGAAATTTTCATGATTTAGCAAACGAAGCTAGGCTGTTTCCATTGATGTAATTGTATTCTAAGATCTCTTGGGAGTATAACCGTAAATTTTTAGCTTTCCGTAAGCCCTAATTGTGATAAGTTGTTCTATAGAGTTGATAGATGGTCTAATTGTCCGCAACATATTCTTCGCACCTTTGCATCTGCTCGCCGCAGCGGGGTGCAGGTGCACCCAAGCGGACGACCAAATAGGCGCATATAATCAATCAGCTCATTTTTCTGTGATCATAGAGGGACCAATATACAGGGTGTCCCAAAAAAATGTTAACACTGTTTGATCGTAAATAACTCCCTTGCTTTCAAGAGCTTCGCCGAGCTTGAGGCACCATTCTGTAGAGCGAGGTTCAACTTAGATTTACAGAATGGAGCGAATCATATGCCCTCTGACAAAACTTTTTTCTAAAAAATCTGAAGAATTGTGTACTAGGGTTTTCGCGCATGCTAATTTTACTACACAACTTTTTACGAGTGTTTTCAGCTTTTTTGACGGTGTAATCACATTTTTGACACATGCTGGGAAGTCAGTTATTACACTTTACCTAGGATAACTTTGAAAAAGAAGTATCATAATAAAATGGAAATTTCATATCCGAAATCAGCGGTTTTCACTACCATAGTACAAAAGATTTTGGCTTGTTTGGCTGTGTTTCGAAGCAGAAAATGGCCTTTGATGGTCTAAAGTCCTTGTCAAAATTCCTACCGTAATTCTACTGTAACGAGGAGAGTTAGATGATTCGCTCCATACTGCAAATCTAAGTTTATCCTCGCTCTACAGAATGGCGGAAGCTCGGCGAAATACTTGAAAGCAAGGGGGTTACTAACGATCAAACAGTGTTAACATTTTTTTTGGGACACCCTGTATATTTTTGGAGAGCTTATTGCGTTAGATTTCGAATATATAAAATTTGTGGCGTTTGGTGAGATTTCAGGAAACGGTCAAAAATCCCTAATGTGTGATTCTGCAGTTTTCAGTTCATCTCGCTGTGATTGGTCCCACCAGAAAGCACACATACGCATGCAAATACTTAATAAGCAAAGAAGCCTACGCTATCACTGTACAAAAAATGTTGGCACGCTACCACGCCCATTCTTGAGGCATGGTCTTTTGAAGGTAGTCTCACATTGAATTCAGAGCATGAGCAACCTGATTTGGGCTCCTATATATTGCAGGGAAAACAGCACAAGTGGGTAATTCCAAGTAGGCCTTTTAGAAAATTTGTTGCTTTACTGACAGTCTTGAAAAATTTGTCCATAAATACAGATTTTTCGAGTTTTTTTATCAATAACTTGCACCAGAAAATCTCATTGATGCGAGCTATACAGCGATTTCTAAGCCAAAAACCCCAGGACCGTGGACGTTTCGTGACGTCATCGGAAAAATGAAAAAAAAATCGTGTTTTCGAAAAAAAATGGTATTAGATAGAGGGAAGGACTCTGATTCTGAATATGTGTCTTCTTCTGCTTGAAAATGATTTTTTAGGAAGTTACGTTGTTGCGGCTTTTCCGGAGCAATACTGCGCTTAATCCGCTGTTTTTAGCGGCGGCGGTAATGGCACTGTAGTTATGTTTTTTGAGCAAACAATAGAAAGCAGTAAATCTGCTTCTCTTGACTTCTTTCCTCGAATAACTTTTGATAAATTGTAACCCTTGGACAAAAATGCTCAATCAAACGGATTTGACTGGCCTTTGTGCCCACAGGAGCATAAAACGCTCATACGAAGAGGCCTCACCTTTCAGTCTTCCTGTGTCTAAATAATATCCATACGTAAGCAGACCATTCGAGTAAAGATGAGAACCAAAAAATGAGGTTGCCGGCGTTGTGGTGCGTGCGTTTGCGCGCATCGTCACGCGCCTCGTCACGATTTTTTGAATGTCCCTTAACTGTTCAAGAGCAACTTTCACCACCCAATCACCGCACCGTAAGGGCGCCAATATTTTGGTGCGCCAAAATTACAGCGCCACTTACAAACAGTCCCCCGAAGAAACCGCTCAGAAACACAACGTCAAATCGTGCATAGGAGGTATTAAGCAATCTTTACAAAAAACATTTGAAAAATTCAGAAAAAACTCTATGTAGAAACGCGGAAACTAAAAGAATCGGAACGGAATTTTTATACCATCAAGATTTGCTCTGTGAACACAAAACTCTGAATGGACTCAGAACCTTTCTAGACTTTTCTGAGCTGAAATTGTAAAGCACAATTTGCATTATCCCATAGCCCTCATTGCGTATGCAGATGTTCCTCCACAAAATAATAAACGTGTTTGCGAAAAATATCGTCGACTCTAAAAATCGTGACGACGGTCTGCAGTGCGGCCAGTGCGCGCCGCACGGCAATGCCGCCTAGTGGTTCGCCCAAATTACGTGGAGAAGGTGAGTTCTTGTGGTTTTTCTTTTTCTTTCTGCATCTTTTTTGCTTGCAGGAACTTTCAGGCTACCGCAGGGAGCCTACACTGCTAAGAAGCAAGATTGCCCTACGATAAAGCGGCAGTGCCGTGCGGCGCGCACTGGCCGCACTGCAGACCGTCGTCACGATTTTTAGAGTCGACGATACTTGCGTACGAGCAACGACCTTATGTTCGAAATCGATTATGACGTCCCAGACATGCAGACCTTTAAATGTAAAACAAGCCTCTAATTGTGAGATATGTAGAAGAGTATCTATCATGACCGATTAGTCAGAACGGTTTCAACTCTAATTTAGAATACATTTTCTGATGGCGCACTCAGGAAGGCCGAAACTACACCAATTTTCGGTATGCTGCTTTTCAACTACGTATATAATTGGAAAATCCTCTTCTACATTTTCAAATCTTCGTACTTAGCAGTATTACAGGCGAAGGTTTGCTCTACTTCCACGCATTTACAAACAAGAGATACGTTTCTCAAAAATGTCTTATATAAATTCTCAAACCCACGATTCCGTACAAAATACACTTCAGTTGACGAGGGAAATTGTGCTTTTGCCGGAATATAAAGCAGACAAATTTTGATTTGAATATTGCATTACGATAGCGAGGGGGGGGGCAACATGAACGATAGATTGTGCCAGCCATATGCGTTGCCTAGGTCAAATATTTTTCAGATTCTATATCTGCGCTATGATGGCATTTAGGAATTCGGAAAAAACGCTGGGAGCTTGAGGGCCTTAATCTTTACCATTTCGACACCATTTTCAATCCAGTAAAGAGCATACTTCAAAAAATAAAACTTTATGCGCGGTATATTGACCCGCAGGAGTACAATATGCTTTTCCAGCTATCGTTCATTTTGGCAGACACCCCGATAGCTATGATTGGTAGAAACAGTTGCATACCTGAATCCTCAAGCCCTTCTAGTATCCTTCTGTTACCCAAGCAAACAGCGTCGGTAATTTTGACGCACTCTGTATATGCCCATCAAATCTACTCGATGTAGAATAGATGGAATAGCAACCATTGCAAACAACACCTTTCTGCTATAATAGAAGTTGGGATCCTAAAGATTAGAAAGGTTTGCAATGCAGCTTGCAAAAAATATAAGGTAAGCCCTGCGTGTTCTTTTATTTTTGTAGTAAAAAATATTCAGTTTAGAAATGAGGGGCTACTGCACCAGACGCAGCGATGTCCGCGCTCTCCCATGCATAAGACTGTCTGGCATACTATCAGGGCTGTTTTGAAATCTAAACCATTGTCCAAAACTACAAGGAATCCTTTAAATCTTGCTTGCGAAAGAGTGCACGACAAAAGCGCACTCGTCCCTTTACATTAAACTTTGATTGCGAATTCAGGGGATTTTGGGCCATTTTTAATTTTAAAAAATCAATCGCAATTGCTTACACGTTTAGAATATGGAAATAATTAATCTGTTAGACATATTCTTTCAAAAAATTGTCAGCTTGAGCGCAAGCTTTCTGCGCTACGGAAAAAAGAAACTAGAGCCATCCTTGCTTACTCGGCTGCGACCTTAGCAGTCATGTACATAGCGATAGCTAAAACCGCCATGCTGTGTCATTGATCGTCATTATCTGTAAATCTTTTACAAATTATTGAAATGAGCAAATTTTCGATCTGCAGTTCTTCAGTTTTGAAATTGACTGAAATATCGACACTTCAGTTTTCCACTTTCTCGGTAATCGATTGACTTAACATGTCGGTATTGAAGTACTAGCCGGTATACTCGGTTTCCCGGGTCCTTTTCAGCATAACGCGAAAATTTCTTCTATACGAGGCTTCCTTATCCCTGTTACGCCAAGTCCCCCCCCCCTTATCCCGGTTTGGTGACCAGAGATGGTCCAGACGTGGAGACAGATTAGCACTGTGCATGCTCTTGCAAAACTTTCGCTAATGCAATCATGGTAATATGTGGACAGTAACCGTTTTTGCGCTATCAGACACGAACAAATTGGCTCTAAGATGCATATGTTGACCCTTGACTTCGGCTAAAGTGACGAGAGCAACATATTGGGACTCTCGAAGTAAGGAAAAGGGCAGTCGGCTCTATTTTCAGTTTTTTGGTAGTAAAACCATATGGTAAGTAAGTTGAATGTTGCGAACTTCTAAACTTACTCACAAGAAAGTGGTAACAGGAGACTTTCACTATTGCTAGAATTCAAAACTCAGTTTTCTGCATGTGTAATAGGATGAAATATGGGGAATTAGTGGTTATCGCCTGCCTCGCCAATGCTCTCATAAAGATGTTCAAAAGCGTACGTACCGAACTTAAGGATAGCGGCTCTTCCTAATGGAGTGAAACAGTTTGAAGGGCCTTATATTTTCTTTGATTATAGACGCATTCTCCCAATTTT